GCTTCTGGCACCCACGCGGCTCACCTTCTGTGCCCTAGGAGCTTGGGATGGCAGCGGGGGAGCTTCCTTCCGGGTGCTGGGACCGGCTCAATGTGTCATTATTTTAAAAGCTGGAAGCACTTTTATTTCAAAATGTTAGAAACAGGAAATAGAGAAATTCCTGAAGAGGAAGCTGACTCTCCAGAAGGTGGAGGAGTGCTCGGTTCTAATAGCTGGACCACAGCTGATCAAGACAAGAGGGCGCATGAACTATCAGCTTCTTGGGGGCCCAAGATAACCTCTCTAGAAACTACAGAGTGCCCACCTCTAACTAAACCTTGCCTGGGGGTGCATGTGCTATAGAATACCTTAAACAACTGAAAGTGACCCCATCTCAATTATAATTAATTATAACCCCATTTACATTGTCGTTTTGGCTTCCTCCTTCCGCATGGGCTTTGGGTACCATGACAGTTCTTCAAAGGTCCATACAAGGACTACCCGCCCCCAAAACAGAAAGGAGGAGACTTTTCCTTGCATGAATAGCCACCAGTTCAATGGGTTATTTCCTCGTAAAAATCACATATAGGCTCTGACACCTGGCTTCTTCTGGGACATGAGCTCTTCTCACTGGCTTGGTCCCACCCTTATGATTGTATCTTTGCTAATAAATACATGCTTTCATTTCTACTGTGTGTCTTCTCAATTCTTTGCTTGGGATACCAATAGTCTATGGTAGTCACAACAGTTGAAAACAATAGAATGAGAGCTTGCTGTTTCTGGTTTCAATTGCTTCTTTATAAAGCTTTTTATAATATTAAGGGCATAAAAATTGTCATATAACAGCAAAGGGAACAGGAGAAAGGATACAGTGGATAAAAGTTTTCAATAATTTTGTGGAAGAAATTTCTAGAAGCTTGAAAGAGTTTTGTCTCATAAAGAAGAGCAGAGAGTTACCCATAGAAGGGAAGTGACCTCTACTGAGCTGTGGGCTGAAGAGAAGGCAAAAGCAGGAATGCAAAGAGGTTGATGAAGGCTTCTTTGTGTGTGCACATAGGACTTTGAGATAAGACTTATCCTCGTTTTGTTCTTCTGCAAAAGTGTATTTGGTCCCCAAATGTGGAGACTGGCTGAACTATAAACTATAAACTATAGCACCATGGTTTTTACACAGGGAAAAGAGAATGAATGGGGAAGGTATCTGCAAACCGAACTGATATATAGAAATATCCAGGAGATATTACTAAGTGAAAAAAGGAAATTCAGAAGAGCATATATAGAGTGCCAGTGTTTGTATAAGAAACAAGAAAAAAAAATCACTACATTCTGCTTAGCATTACAGAGAGGAACATGGGAAGGGTAAGTAAGAAGGCCAAGGTGGTTCCCTTCTCTGAGAGGAATGCGGCCGAAGTGCAATGGGAGGGAGGGACATTTCCCTGAATACAGCTTTTTGTGTAGCTCTGAATTTGGAAATAATGTTTATGTTCTACTTTTTTTTGAGGCAGCATCTCACTATGTAGTCCAGGCTGAACTTATGATCCTCTTGTCTCAGCCTCCCAAGTGCTGAGATTACAGGCTTGTGACACAATGCTCAGCCAGATGTTCTACATATTAAAAAAATAAATCAATAAGAGAAATTTAAGAAAACTGAAACAATTACACAATCATAACAGACAGAAAGAAAAAGAAAAGAAGAGGGAGGTGGGGCCGGGGGGGAATAGGGGAGACAGAGAAAGGAAGGGAGGAAAAATGGGAAAGAAATAACCCAAATAACTTAAGTATTTAACTATACCTACATAGCCATGGTCTTGGGTGGAATAAAGATAGGGAGATAATGGCAAATAAATCTGAACTCTGCTTAATGAGGCTTGTTTGTTAAAGTGTCTACATATGAGACAATTCTTAAACTGTTTTAGATGTGTTATAAAATTGAGTAATTAAATGTGTTAGGAACCAGAGTTCTCACAGTGGGAAGGGAGATACAAATATGGAATGGAATGGGGAAAAGCAAGCACTAACTGTGCTTGTGGACTGAAATTCTAGGGTTTGGTATAAATTCATGACTTCATATGTATATGCACATGTGCTTACATGCAGATATAGGTATATATTACATGTGTGTCTTTGTGTATGTGATAAGTGTGTGTATATGTACCCCTCTGCTTTGTCTGCTCAGGAGGGCAAGATACAAAAACATCCCAGTAGCAATGCACACATCCAGCACCCAGATTTTAGTCTGTAATCCCATCCACTGCTAAGAGGACCTGGGCACCCCCCATGCAGAGGTTAGCTCTGTTTACAGAGTTCATAACAAAGAATCAGGTTCTAATTGAACATTCTCCCAAACACATGTAGAACACATGTAGTCAGAGGGGATTTCTGTTGAGAAGAGGGACCAAGAAGGGGGAAGCTGGACCGATCTCAGAGATTCACTGGTCTGGGATGACAGGGTGACAAAAACATAGAGATTTTCATAAAACAAAATGAGTTCAATTTTAAACTCTGAGATCACATTCCTATCATCACCATCATTATTATTGTTAGTGTTAATGTAGTCTTTTAAAATGGAAATGGTGATTGGGTAGATGATAGTTGGATGTTTTTGTTTTGATTTACCTTAATATCCTTACTTGACAAAACAAAACTCTGATAACCTTAAATCGGTTCCCAAAATTCTTCTGAGTATTTTACTCATCTATAGATTCTGAAATCTAGGAACTACTGGATTAGATAATATCTTTGGTTGCTGCTCACTCTTGATTTTATGGAAGTCCAGAGATTCAAGAAATTCTCTTGAAATTCCCTAAAGAGTAAAGAACCCAAAGAGCAGGTCGGATTCTTATGAATACAAACATGACTTGGAATAAATCAATGCTAAATATCCATACTGCATGGTTTGACAAGATGCAGCTATATCTCAGGGTCAAAAGATATAAGAAAAACCTCAGAAGTTACAGGAGTGATTTATTCAAGCAAAATGGTTACAAAGTCGAAAAGTAATGAATGGATTTATGGGAACCTGTTACAGACTGAATGTCTGTGTCCAATATAAACCCCAATGTGACTGTATTTGAAGTGGAGCCTTTGGTAGGTGATCAGGGCCTGAGGGTGGAGCCCTCATGAATGGGATTAGTGCCCTTAGAAGAGAAGCCCTACAGGGCTGCCTTGCTTCTTCCTCATTGTGAGGACTCTGCAAAAAGGCATCACCTATGAATAAGCCCTCACTAGACACCAAATCTGCCAGTGCCTTGATCTTGAACTTCCCAGTCTTTCTTCCCAGAACTGTGAGAAATACATTTCTGTTGTTTATAACCTACCCATGCTATAGTATTTTGTTGTAGCAGCCTGAACGATTAAGACAAATTTAAGAGCTAGGTGTGGTGACACAGGCCTATAATCCCAGTTCTCTGGGAGGCTGAGATAGGAGAATTTCAAATTGAGCCCAGTCCAGGGAATTTAGTGACTTAGTGAGACTCAGTGGTGCATGCTTGTAATCCCAGCACTCAGGAGGCTGAGGCAGGAGGATTGCTGTGAGTTCAAGGCCAGCCTGGGGTACATAGTGAATTCAAGACTATCCTGAACAATGTAGTGAGACCCTGTCTCAAAAAGGGGGGAGGCTGGGGAGGTAGCTCAGTGCTAAGGTCCTGGGTTCAATTCCCAATACTGGGGGTGGAGGTAGGGCAGAATTTTAAAAAGGAATCACCATTATTATTTTGTAACTATTTTTAGAAGTAACAGCTGACCTAGAATCCTACATTCAGTGGAAATCCATGATAAGAAAATGTAGAAGACACTGTTGATTTTTGAGCTGTTATGTAACTGCAGTTTATTTAAAACAAACTAGCCCAAGAGAGAATTTGGACACAGAAACAGAGAGTAAACCATTGGGGGAGAATTTTCTTTAATTCACAAAGAATTCATCATATTTAATTCATGGTTATGTCAAGCCCAAGGTGAATGCATCTGAGGGCTTGTTGAAAGAACTGCCTTGGGAGATTTTTTTTCCCCAAGGACACTGCTTTGGAAACAAAAATAGAATTTTTTTTTTTCTAATTCTTAGGACCTGTGTAAGCTCACAGAGGGTAGACATGGGCAGTCTCCACTTTCCATCACTTCCCATTGTGCTTATTCAGTCTCCTGACAGCACTCCAGACCCAGCTACTGGTTACATGGGTTGCTCCTAAATGGTCCTCTCAGCCCCAGCAAAATGAAAGCCCACGGAGGTGGTGATGGTGCCATCTGGTGGCAATAGAGTGACAGCAAGGTTTGGCAGCAGGCTAAAGGCAGAAGTCATCAAAGTGGGCAGGAGCCAACAAGCGGGGTGCTTCACATGATCATTTAATTTTGGTCCTTGTTACAGCCCAGTGAGGACTCCATCATTACCCCTGTTTCACAGAGAAATTACTGTTCAAAGGGCATCAGTAAGAAGCGATTCACCCCACCACAGAGGCTGGTGACCTGGCCCACCAGGAACAGAGGCAGGTCTCTAATGCAAAGGCCCACCTTTCTTCTACAATGTCATTGTTTCCTCCGACTCTGGAGGTATTAGATTTTAAAAGTAGGCTAAAGTAAAGAAGTTGCTGAGTTTATTTTGAGATGGCAACAGGTGAATAAAGTACATGCAGAAAGACACAAGCCTGTCTGAACTCCTGTCATGTACTAAATCCCAGCTGGGTGTTTTCTGTTTATCTCATGTCATCTCCAGGCAAAGGTGAGCAGCAGAGAAGAAGAATACCCTGGAAAGGACAGCATGTGGATGAGCTTTGGGAAGTACAGCTGCATCTGACTCAATTTAGGAGGAGCTTTTCCAGCTGGCAATGAGAGAAGCAGGCAAAGGAAGTATCCTAGGGTCACAAACTGATCTCCTCAAATTCCTGTGGTGCAGCAGACACATGGGTAGTGGACATGGGGTGACTGAACACTGAGTGCCTTAGTCTACTTTCTGTTGCTAAAAACACCAGACTGGGAAATTGTCAGAAGAAGGGTTTATTTTGGCTCACGGACTTACCTGTGGGTGATCTCTATCTTAGAAGGGTCGGGCAGGGCTGAGAGCTCCAGGGACTGGAACCTCTTCCAGTGCATGATTCCAGGAATAATGTCCTGTAGTGAAAAGTGGCACAGGGTTATGATGTGGACCAGTTCCTAAAGACTAGGAAGGACTTTATTTCATTCAGATGGCTGTTTTTAAGCCACAAAGGTGAGTTCCAAAATTTATCATTTCATTAAGATTAATTAAATTTTCTGAAGTAAAAAGACAATTACTCCAGCAAGGGCACTAAACAATGTAACACAGAATGAGAGACAAAGAGAGATCCCCTAAATTAGCACCACAAGCAACAAGCAGCAGTGATGGAGGGTGGATGAGGCCCTCAGATCTGTTTTGATGACTGTGAATGAAGTATTAGCATTGTGTCTGAAGAGGATAGGGAGCTCCTCAAGTGGCACAGCCATATAGGGAACAGAGTGAGCACATGCATTGGTGACCCGATGGAGTCTGCTCTCAGGAGACCCTGAGCTCAGCTGAGTGCAGGGCGTGTGATGGGGATGGAAGAGGCAGGCAGGTCACCGAAGGCCTCATGGGTGAAGCTGATGAGCTTGGAGCCCCTCCTGCTGGCAGCAGGGCTCCACTGAGGGCATCTAAGCAGGAACCAGAATGATAAGACTTGGGTCAAAGGAAGATTTCCATGGAGGCCTGATCAGAGCAGTGTGAGCCATGGAGGAGACCAAAGGGAGACTGGCAGGCTGTGTAAAAGGCAGGCTGGTTAGATATGGGGGATGAACTAGAGGGATGGAGGGTCACACGAGTCCTGTGCACAATGCCAAATTCTATGTAGTGTCACCCACAGAATAAAAAGGCAAGTGGGTGACAGGAAAAGGAAGCATTTTGGGGCACGACTGGTGGAAGTTGGACAGAGATAATGATCTGGGATGGGCATTGATTGAATTTGAGGGGCCTGAGGGGGAACTTCAAGAGGGGCTCCTGGATATTCAGGTCAGGTTGGTCACCTGGGGAGAGAAGGAATTCTCTGGAACCAGTTCTTTACTACTCAGTGTCACATCACCCTTTTGTCCATTCTGATGTTTCTACACTTACTGGGACCAAAGTAAAAGGAGGTCAGGCCATGGGCTCTGCTTACCATGTGAATTTTGCATGATGGAAATATGAATGAATGAGCATTAGGTGTTGCCTGTAAGGAGGAAACAGAGAGGATGCTGGAACAAGGGCAGCGTTGGTTTTGAGAGGACAGGCGTGGGCCTGAGTGAGTCTCCACCAGGATCCCACAGGGCTGCTGGCAGGAGGGCTGCTGTTTGTAGCTGTGGCCACAAGCCTCTTTTTTCAATCCCAGCTATGGCCCTCTCTCCTTGTCCCTTGCCTCTCCCTGCAGTGCAAGGCTAGCTCTGCCAGGGAGCTGGGTGGTGGCATTACCGTGTGATGGAGAAACTGCTTCTGGGTGAGAGGAATGCTGGACCCATGGTGCAACTCATGGGTGAACTTGTACTTGGGGTGAGTGCACAGATGATAATCTATCAACGTTTCTGTGTAGGTCAGAGGGTGTTTCACAGCAAATAAGCCTGGGCTGGGATTCTGCAGAAGAGAGGAGAAAAAGAATTTTCTGTTTAACCAGTTTCCAAGCCAGGCTCAAGGACAGGCGTCAGCTAATGTCCTCTGTGGCTCCCATTAGCACTAACACTCATCTAGAAAAGAGAGCAGAGGTGCCCAGAAGTTGGCCGCATTTTACATCATCACAGTGCTTTAAGGGGTTCATCTTATACCGTGTGAATTTACTATCCTCACATGGAAGTATAACTGAAAAACACATCTTAAAGTATTTGTTTGTAATTATGATGGATTAGGGGAAATTATTAAATAAGCAAACTGGTTTTCAAAAGCAAATGAGCTTCTGGTTCTGAGAAGAAAAATAGCTTCTTAGAAACTGCTTTAAAGAGAAGACAGAGAAGAGAGTGACATTTGATATACCGGGAAATGCCAACCTTTAACATTGTTTAGGTAATGTTTTTAATTCAGGAAGGCTCCATTGGGAGGTAGTATCTGATTTTAAGTGAGATTTTCTTTGTGTTTTTTTTAAAACTAATTCTCCAGCGGAACTAATGGAGTCATAGAACAATTTCATCACAATACTAAAATCTAGAGCCTTTTAATATTCTTTCCAGAGCTTACACAGCAGATACCCTACTCTTGTCCCAAACAGCATAGCTTTCCCCCGACAGTTGTTTAATCTCATCTGTTTAAGAACTATTAGGCTGAGATTTTGTTCATTTTCTTTCTATGATTTTTCTGACAATGAAAAAAACCCCCACATAATTCTACATGATTTATGGAGACCTGATCTCCCTGCCAAGAAATAAAGGCCCCTCCCATGACTTCCATTTAAAGGACATATAGATTGGGAGGCATTCCAGCCCCTAGATGCACATCTGTGAGGGTCCAGATGTCTTGCGCTGTTGAGTCAAGAATGCTGGAAAGACTGGGCTGTGGGTGCAGAGGATGAGCTGCAGGATGATGGTCTTGGGGGAAGATGCAGAGGGGCTCTCTGCTGAAGGCACGGAAATAAAGTAGGGATGGGTCCACTGAAGGTGTCTGCAAAGACCACAGTGACACAAACAAACCCACACTTCAGTGAGTCCCTGCAGTTGAAGCAAGAATTGGGTGTATATAAGAGGAGGTGGTGTGACAGGAATAGGGCTGGCCACCCTCTATTGGGGAAGGATGGGGGAGAGGTGCATAATACCAGGGAAGAAGAAATTGCCTGTGTGCCCTCAGGAGTGTCTCCTGCTCTGGCTGACTGGACAGAAGGTGCTATGTGGCCAGCTCTCTTGATCTTCCTTGGGCCATGTGTAATGAAGCAGTGTTTTTGCTAATGCCAATTACACTGTCTCCAACAGTTGTCATACTTCAGATCACCCTCAGTGGCCATCACTTCCAGAGTAAGGTAGTCTGGGCAGTCATTCCAGGATGACTTCAGTTTTCATTTCCCTTGAAGTAATGCATGCATATGGTGGTGTCTTGCCAGGCTGCAAAGATTTGCCATGAACAGTCATGGGCTCCCGTGGGCACTGCCTGTCCCCAGGCCCACATCCCAGAAGCTGTTTCTTTCATTTGTTTCTAGATTTTGTAACTCTGATGGTCACTACACTAATTCTAAACATTTTGCTTATTCTTCCACTTCTTGATTACCAATCTCACACAGTAGCTACTGAATCATTACTATGTAAGTAAGGGTTTGTCTCAAGTACATTTAGGAATGAACTTCTGCCTTCTAATATTAAAAATTACAGTCTACTTTATAGTAACTTACCTTTTTACTTGAAATGATCCCCATTTATTGTCTCATTATTATTTTGAGACAGAGTCTCCTTACATTGCTCAGGCTAGTCTTGAATTTCTTGGGTCTAGCAATCCTTTTGTCTGAGCTCCCAAGTAGCTGAGAAGACAGGTATGTGCCATCATACTTGGCTTATCATTTTAAATTGAGCATTTCAACTTCTCTTTGGTGAAATGAAAACATTATCATTCCTGTGCTTTCTTGTACCTTTTCTTCTCTCTTCCATAATTTTACTTTTATATTATAAACATTCACATTCTGAAAGCATAACCAAACCATCATGCTTTGTTCGCAGGTTGTCCCTAAAAATTGAAAACTAATGAATAGCATTTGTTTTATTGTGAATGTGTAAATGTTTCTCTGCAAGGCCAAGTAGAGGCCTGAATTATATTTTTTGTGTATGAAGGTTCAAGATCATCATGGGAGTATAGCTTGGAGTTAAAGTACTTGCCTAGCCTGGCATGCATAAGGCCATAGGTTTCTTCTCCAGCATATCCTGAACCAAACCAAACCAAACCAAACCTAAACTCAATACTATGGCTGTTGGATAAGAGTTCTAGTTTCAAGGCTAAATGGATTCTATTTTTAAATTTTCCATGAACTCTTGAAAGCATATCAAATTTTAGTTTTTAATTTTGTTTCCTATTTGAAACACCTGTGGACATTTACTGATTATTTTTTCCTCCTAGAGTTTATAGTTCCCTTTCCTCCCCTCCCCTCTCCTCTTATCCTATCTTATCCCTTTCTCTCCCTCTCTCTTTCCCTGTCTTTCCTTTCCTTTCCTTTCCCCCTCTATCTTTTCTTTCTGTCTTTCTTTTTTTGGTACTGGGGATCAAACTTGGGTCCTTGCGCTTGCAGGGCAGGTGGCAGAACCACTGAGCCAAATCCCTGGCCCCTTTCTTTCTCTTCTTTCCTTCCTTCATTTCCTTCTTTTCTTTCTTTCCTTTCTTCTTTTTCCTTCCTTCCTTCCCTCCTTCCTTCCTTCTTCCTTCCTTCCTTCCTTCTCTTTCTTTTCTTTCACTAGGGATTGAGCTTAGGGCTTAGTACATGCTAGGCAAGTGCTCTACCATTGGGCTACACCTTTAGGTTTTTAAAAAATGTTTTTAAATTTTGAGACAGTGTCTTGCTAAGTTGCCTAGGCTGGCCTTGAGCTTGCTATCCTGCCACCTCTCAGCCTCTGGAGTAGCTAAGATCACAGGTGTGCACCACCACACCTGGCTATAATTGCCCTTTCTTTTACTTACAGAATCCTTGAGTGTATCCATTCTGTCAACTGCACTATTGGTGTATGGAGTCCTACTCTCCTAGACACCTCCAGGGCAATCCTCCAGGGCCCTTTACCTTCCCTCTTTTAGGCTTCATGCACTGATGTCACTAAGGGCTTCACTTTAATGCTTTATTGGTTGTCACCAGTATTTCTTTCATTTTCTTTTTGTCTCTTTTCTTAGGGTATACTGATAGTTTCTTTCACTGCTGTACTAATGTAGAATTGCTTGTACAACAAACTGCAAATATCCGAAGTATTTTGACATAAGTTACACCTGCAAAGCCATCACTGCCATAAAAATACTATAATAAACATTTCCATTACCCCCTAACGTTATCTCAGGCCCTTTGTCATCCTTCCATTCCCACTTCCTATCCCTGTGCTCCTGTCCACTGAACCCAGCCTCAGGTAGACTGTGACTTGCTCTCTGTCTGTATAGGTTACTTTGGATGATTTAGACTTTTATATAAATGGAACAATACAATATGTGCTCTTTTTTCTGATTTCTCTTACTCAGCACAAATTATTTTGAGAATCATTCAAGTTGTTACATTATCCAGAGTTCCTGGGCTGGGGATTTAGCTCAGTGGTTCTGCTGCCTGCCTTGCAAGCACAAGGTCCCGAGTTTGATCCCTGGTACCAAAAAAAAGAGAGTTCCTTCTTTTTATTACAGAGGAACATTTTGTTGTATATTTATACTACAATTTGTAAACTTATCAATTAAGAAATGTCCTCAACCCAATGGATTCACCACTGAATTGTACAAGAACTTCAGGGAAGATTTAACACCAATACTCCTTAAGCTCTTTAATGAAATTGAAAGAGGAGTACTTCTAAATTCATTCCTTGAGGTTAGCATTACCCTGATTCTAAAATGAGACATGGACACAACTAAAAAAAAAACTTTAGGCCAATCTCTTTAATTAACATAGATATAAAAATCCTCAACAAAATAACAACATGACCAAGTAGGCTTTATCTCAGCAGTGCATGGATGTTTCAACATATGCAAATCAATAAATGTAATATATCAAATAAACATAAGCAAGAACAAAAATCACATGATCATCTCCATAGATACAGAAAGAGCGTTTGACAAAAATCCAGTACCCATTCATGATAAAAACCCTGAAAAAATAGATGTAGAAGGACCTTATTTCAATCTGCTAAAAGTCTTTTATGACAAACCTACTGTGAACATTATATTAAATGGGGAAAAGTTGAAAGTTTCACCTCTAAAACCAAGAACAAGACAAGGATGTCCACTATCACCCCTCCTATTCAATACATTACTTGAAACAATAGCCAGAGCCATCAGGTAAGAGAAAGAAATAACAGGGTTGTGTATAGGAAAGGAAAAAGTCAAACTATTATTATTCACAGATGACATGATCCTTTACATAGAAGATCCAAAAAGTCCCACCAAAAAACTCATAAAACTAATAGCCAATTTCAACAATATAACAGGATGCAAAATCAACACATAAAAATAAATAGCATTCCTGTACACCAGAGATGGCGAATCTTTCAGAGGTTTCAATGATAACAAATAGCGCCCTGTGACACGTGTGCCATAGATTCACACCACTGCATACACCAATAATGAACCCACTGAGAAAGAAATTAGGAAAACAATACCATTCATGATAGCATTTAAAAATTAAATGCTTAGGAATTAACCCAACAAAGGAAGTAAAAGACCTCTATAATGAAAAAGTACAGTATTCTGAAAAAGGAGATAAAAGAGGTCATCAAAAAATGGAAAGATATCCTGTTTCTAGATAGGCAGAACTAATATTGTCAAAATGGCCATACTATCAAAAATGGTAATAGATTTAATGCAACCCCAATCAAAATACCAATAACATTCCTCAGAGAACTAGAAAACAATCCTAAAATTTATAGGAAACCAGAAGAAACCCAGAATAACAAAAGCAATTCTGGCCAACAAGAGTAAAACAGGAGTCATCACAA